CCTGTCAACTTAGAGTAGTGCCTGAAGATTACTTCGTGCGGCTATAACGACCGTTAAATGAAATGATAAATTTTTGAAGGATTTTGAAAACGGAAAAAATGATAGTCATGCCGGCCCTGCATCATCAACATTGAAAAATGCCCCGGCACGAAGTGGTTAATGCTAGTTTCTGTGCATTGACTTCAGAATTAATCTAGACAAACACAGAAAAAACCTGCATTTATATCATTCTTCAATAACAATGCTTGATAAATTTTGGCTACTTTACACTTACGACTGCTTCTTCTTCCTCGAAAAATTATAAATCAAGACAGAGACGATTGCAGGGGGCACTTTGGTAAGTTAAATGCTTGAAACATGTTAAAGGACACTGAGTAGTTCTTTCAAATTTTATCTTGTCCTTTCAATGCTTGGCCTGTTCACACAAGATGACATATAAATCTGATCCAAACATCTCAGTGCATATACACAGCCATGGCTCATGGGTTAAACCACCGGGTGTGGCCTAAGTGGCCTCTAGTGAATGTGTACAGTTGAACCTCGTTAACAAGAGCACTGATAATACAAGATTCTGCTGAACACAAAGACATTTCAAGGTCTCAATCCTTTGTTCTTCTTTTGCTTCATTCCTGATAAAACAGGGTTCCTGTTACAACGAGGTAATTTGCCAAGTGTGAAGGACCTCTTATTAACGAGGTTCGACTGTATATACAAATACATATACATGCACACACTGATCCACCATTCAGTTTGTACAGACACACAAATCTCAGGACTCTGTGAAAGCAGACAGCTTATTGAACTTAAATGCTGTACACTGTCTGTCCTGATAGCAAAATTCACTCTGCTGCAAAATGACATTGTGGTAAGAATACATGTATTAATTAAATTACTCCATCAAGCCAATATCTGCGTTGCTTTGCTGTACATCACAAATTGCCTGGTGTATTTGCCTTTTTTTGAAAAATTTAAATTTTTGGTCGAACTAATAGATGTATGTCTGTGAGTACAATAAATACACTAAAGATTTACCAATATTGAATCAAGAAGTGTATACTTACAATGTGGTGACCAGAAGTCCCCTTTTCTGTACTATAAATACATGACTTTTATATACGTAACTATTATGCAGAGAAACACCAAACTCACAGTCACAGTTTCATATGAAAAAATACTGTTTTGAAACCATTTCATGAAAAAATAAATTGTAGCATAGTATGTCTGCCAGATGGCATAAAAGGTCAATGATTTTGTGCATGCATAGTGGACTTGGTATAAACCAAGCCACTTCCTAGTGACATCCAGCATGTCAGTAACAGTCACAGGCTTTAGACATACTGGATCATAATGTGCCCAATCCAGTCACTGCAAAAACTCTTAACCACTTTGCGCTGGGGGACCCGGTATCGGATACCTTACATGTTTGTTTGTACGCATAGCTGGGGAGCCCAAAATTGGACAAAGGAGCCATGCTACTGTTTTTTTTCATTTTTCATTCGTCAATGGCAGAGGTGATCTGTCCTGTGTTTGAAAAACTATACCATTATTTGTGGCATTCAATATGAAGGATTACAACCACGGACGAAAGCTCTCCAGCACTGAACAACACAATACCGCTGCACGCTAATCTCGCCCTACTGAAAAAGACGCAAGCAGCGAACTGCTCTAGTTTCGAGAACAAAAAAAATTACGCAACACCACACAATCTGGGCTCTGTTTACAAGACAGTAGGCCTGGCTGAAATACACGGGCGTCAATAGATGTTACCTGTCAGAATAGAGCAGAAACCAGACTGTGTGGGTATATACGTCCAGTAAATGAAGTAATGAATTTTTGAAGAATTTTAAAAACGGAAAATCATGAAAAACGCCGTATTTCTGCATGGCCATTTTAACTGAACCCGGCACGAAGTGGTTAACACAAATGTGGTGTTTGCACAAAATCAACAGAGTAAATGCATTACCCACATTGTCACAAGCAAACAGCAGCGGGGCCAATCAAGCTTTCTGTAGAAGCAATGCCCCACAGAACTTCAACTTTGAAAACACAACAGGAAATGTTAACGAAAAATCCAAGACGTTATCATAAATACAGTACACATTTCCCTGTTAATAATTTAGACAAACAATCTGTCCCCAATATATATACACACTCACACATAATCTGCCAAGTGCACTTTGATAGATATGTACAATTTGGTTTTAAAACTTAGGCACTTACTTGAATGGTGAAAAAACAAAAAATACAAAAGATAAATTAAAAATGTGCTAAAACAATAAGTAAATGAATTAAAAACTCCAATCTAATACAGTGTCACCATCTTCAAAGTCTTTATATCCTCCAACAATGCTAATGCTGCTTTCCATCTTATACGCAGACTTCAAGGTAAATTTCCATCAGTTCTCGAGATCGTTTGGGTCTTTCCAAAGGTAGTCCAAGAGTTGGAATTTTTTAGGACTTTTCTAGAATTTTTAGAAAAATCCCACACTTCTTCAAGGACAATCACTAAAGCCCCATGGCATGTCTGGAAATTCATAGTACAATTCCTGGAAAGCACCTTCAAATTTCCCTACTTCAGTTCCCAAGTGTCCCACACTATTTTTCCACTCTATTTTGACGGATTACACAGATTATGTAAAATTGTCCAAACTACTGTACTTTTTAATACCTCTCTGAAAGAGACACCCAAGGAATTCCGAACCAAACTAACTCTCCGCCCCGAGCTGAAGTGCACCCCCAATCGGCAAAAAGAAAGACAGGTGGTTACAAATGGGTTCTGGCACGCATTCTGGGTGTATGCAAAGACCATACATGCCGGCGTAAATTAGTTACGCATACTCAGCGTACTCCTGTCAAATGCGAGTATCCCCCCAAAAAGCCCCCTTTTGTTCTGCTCGGAGCAGATGTTGCCACGAAGACCAGACTTTGATTTCTTTGAATCCTCTCACTGAAGCTCTCTGACTTTCTTGTCAAGCCATGCTTAGGTGCCTCTATTCTAGGATAAAACTGCCGCAAAATTCTGCTCGGTATCATGGACATTGTTAAATAGCCCTTCATTTTCCAAGAATACTACTGGAATCAAACTGACAAAAAACACTCTCTCCTGGGGCTGTGGTGACTATCTCCTGGGGCTGTGGTGACTATCTCCTGGGGCTGTGGTGACTATCTCCTGGGGCTGTGGTGACTATTCAGTTATTCAATTAAGCAGTTGTTGAATCCTTTGTTTGGTTACAATATTTGGTGTAACTGAAGTTACTCTGTGAATATTCAGGGTTCTGTTTAGCACAATACCTCAATTCCACGCATGAAACTTCTAAAAAGTGGGATGAACACACATTTGGATGCTATTGCTACCAGTGAGAAATGTAATACTGCCATGATGCCCAGACAAAAGTTTTGGCAGATATGGCAAATGCATAACATGAATCAGTGGTTTGATACATTGAAAGGGAACAATTAATCAACGGAAAAAAAACGACCTTTAACTCACAGCCCTACACTCAGTGTCTAATGGCCTTATACAACATAAGGTCACTATAACTCAGTGGTGACATCGCTATAGACCCGGTTACCAGCTCCTGCATCCTTACGGACTACCGAGTAGCGAATGGATGAGTTGTAAGTCTCTTGCTGTTTGCGATTCTTGCGGGTGAAGATGACAACGGCAATACAAATCACCACAATGACAAGGACCGGTATGACAATGGCAAGTATATCTACAGTGGAGAAAATTACAAACACACACAAATTAACAATGAACCCCAAATCCCTACTTACCGGTAGAAGTTAGGAAAACAAAGTAAAAGGCATTTTTTTTATATTGCACGTACCGGTAGAAATTTCTGCAACTTCGTTTTACACTGCCATTTGGTGCTGTTTTCAAGCCTACTTTAATAATCTGGATGGTTAAGTTTATTGATCACCTCAAAATTTCTTCTCTAGAAATCAATTGATTTAAGTTGAATTACGTGTGGTGGAATGTGCAGCATGTTTTGCTGAACAATGACTGCATTACCAGGTTTACATGTGAATTTGCACTGTGGTTGCCACTGCATATGTGGCATCAATGATTCTTTGTCTCTGTCATGTGGAACATGGAAACATTTTTCTATCCGTAGGCAACACAATTGCAGGTGACAAGAGATGTGCTAAGCACCTTTCAAGGGTACAAGAAGACGCAGGAACTTTGACCTTCTAGTAAGAAGTCCAGTCTCTTACAGGGCTAATGATGGGAAAATGGCTTGGAATGACTTTAAGGATTTTAAAAGTAAACGACTGTAATGCGTGCATTTCATAATAGTTTGTGAACCAGTGAAGTGCAGTTCCTACAAAAGGAGCCTCCATTGCTAGGAAAATTGCACCCTGTCTTGGTCCTGCTTGGGGCGGCTTAAGTCTGTACTCACATAAGTTATTGGGTTCCTCAGGCTGCTTAGTAGTGCCGCCCATGGCCAATGTTGTCATGGGTTGTGACCGTGCATCTGTCACAAGCTGTGATGGTGCATCTGTCATAGGCTGTGACTGAGCATCTGTCATTGGTTGAGTCTGTGCATCTGCTGTGTGGTTTGGCTGTGTGGGGCCAGCAGCTAGTGGACCAGCTGTGGCCCTCAAACTATCTAAAGGTCCAGAGATATACATTTTTTGATGGATATCCGTGTAGTATTAATTAGTACACTTTTGGACCGACCTCACATTATACATTTAGTTGAATACCGGCAATGTCTTCTAAATTTGTTACTTATTGATTGCTATGTACAATGCCAGTTTTCCCTTGATTAAAATCCGGCCCTCAAGTGCAAACATACATGCATCACAAGTGTACACCTCATGCTCAAATTACTCAGAAAAATTGTGAATTTAGGAAATTCACAAATTACTTGTGAAAGAATTCGCATTATAAAACAACAGAAAACAGAAAATTGTCCTTCTTCTGATACTGATGGATTTCACTAGAACCGGCATATCCTACTGGTACTGACTGACACTCACCTAGATAGGATGAGATTTCCTGGCCGTTGGCACAGTTTCCAAGTACAGTTTTCCCGGCTAGCCATGCTAGGCTACTGTCACACACAACGGGATTTGACCTAAGGTCACTGGACCAAAAGTAGGTGAAAACAACAACAAAAAAATGGTCATACATCCAAACAATGAAACCCTGAAAAGCAATGGATTTCAGGTTGGGATAGGGGAGGTTTACGTAGAGAAGTTAGGATGCATACTTGGCAAAAAAGTAACACAATTTTTTTTCTAAATGTAAGCATAATGGACAACAAATGCACAAATTATTGTGGAAATTGAGTTGAAACTGATTAATAGAGTTGCATGCCCTCCCATTGCAGTGATACACGCCATCCTGATAGTAACCTAAAGTGGAGCACACCACTCTTCCATTAAAACAGTGGACAGCTCTTGAACTGTTCTCCGCTGTAGGCACCACTGGACATGACCAGATGCAGCGATGAAGCTCATCCCACACATGCTCCATGGGGCTTTGGTCTAGACTGAAGGCAGACCAAGGTGGTGGGAGTTCGGAGAAACTGTCCTCTAGATACTGGGTAATCACTCTAGCGGCATGAGGTCGCGCACTGTCATGTTGAAACAGGGTTATGTTGGAGCGTCCATTCAGAAATGCTCTCACTTCATGTACTGGCTCCAAAATATCATCCCAATATCTCTGGGCAACCATTGTTTACCAGCAGATCAGTACGGTCATTTGCTATGATATCAGCCCAGACCACGATGCTGAGGCCTCCCCATCTGTCATGCTCTACGACATTACAATTGAAGAATCATTCCCATGACAATGGTAAACTCGAACTCTTTCCTCGCTACTGCTTACACGAAAATGTGATTCATCAGAGAATAACACTTGATTCCACATTCTCTGCATCCTGTCATGGTGCTCGTGGGCCCATGGCAACCTATGCCAATGCTGATCTGCTGTCAGTGGGAGATCCCTGTATTGTCCTAAGCACAAAGTCACAGTTCTGACAGTCTGAGCACTAACCCTGTATTTGTTCATCGAGGTGTCTTCCTCACCATAGTTTCTGCATTGCGGCGTCGATCACAGAGATGTTGCATAATGACGTACTAATCTTGATTGGACGTTGTCACTTGAGGTCTATCCCTTCTTGGATGATCTGACACACTCTAGTGTCTCTTACATGATGTCCGAGTCTTATGATTGTTGATTTGCAGATTTGGAAATGTGTGGCTTCAAGCCAGCATCAAGCATTCCGATAGCGTGGGTTTGGTCAAACTGACATAGTCATGGCATTCTCGTCTTTAGTTCATTCAATAGAAAAAATCAGTTGTGGACTCTGGATGGACCATTGGCTATCACAGGAACATCTCAAATCCTATGCAAATTAGCATGTCAAAGCAAACCACATGATTCATTGTAACTTTGACAGTCCACTTTTTTCATGTTCAGTGAAGCATATCACCCAACTGAGAACTGTGCTTGTTAATACATGAACAAGCATCCACTATGGTATTACAGCTATTTAAAACCCAGCATTATATGCAATATGTATTTTATTAACTTGCATTACTTTTTTGGCCAAGTACAATGTATATATTGACTGTAAACCTAGCCTCTACTGCATGAATGAACAAATTCTTAAGTGTCTTTTACACAGGATATGCACTGCTTAGAATTCTCAAAGTCCAAAGTTAATTTCACCAGGATCTGTTTTTCTTTACTTGAGAAACTCAGGCAACAGACTGTAAGTGAAATTTGAAGACAGGACTCATAAAAATTCATATGAACTAAATGTAAATTACAAAACATGCTTGTCTGTGGCAGCACCATGAGGGAAGGTTGCCAAGGGTATAGGAGGCCCAGAGGCTGGGAACATGTCCTGCGGTATTGAGACCCGCTAGACTCCGATGTGACTATTCAACATGGAGGACCACAGCAATTGTGTACCAACCACACACAGACATATTGTTGCATGGTGCTTCCGCAAACCTTTACTTTATTTGTCATCTTCACCATGAAAAGCTTCAAATATTATGGTAATTACAATGTACACCAGCAAAACACATGCACTTCCATACTTTCATTAGGAAGCATATACAGTACAGTGCAATTGAAAGTTAACCTCAAAAATAGGAAAACTGTTCACACTTTATCCCATCTGAGAAAATGATCATTTACTTCACAAATCGTGACAAATTTCCCCCTCAGTGGGAAAAATTTTTGCGCCTTCCTTTCACAAATGGGAAAATTTTTCATAATTTTTTTCACAGAGGGGAAAACTTTTCACACCAGATTTTCACAGGTGTGAAAACTTTTCACAAATGCAAAAAAAATTGACATCTTTCACCCAATTGAGACGGAAATTAACCCCAGCCTCACCAAAATCAATTTTAAAGTATGAATTTCACAAGTACAGAGTTCCCAAAACATACCCAACCACACATTATTTGTGTTTGAACATATAATTGTTTTAGTAAGAATTGAGACCAAGTCAGAAGAGCCACCAAATATCATACTACTTATTATTCAGCAGTAATAAAAACAGTGATTGCCAGAAGTCATGACATCATAGACAAAATCTTAGCAGACAGTCTGTATGTGTAGGTGTACTGCGGCATGTGTGAGGCTACTGCGCGCGGATGCCATGTCGACCACCTGCCCTGCATGCACGCCCGCCTGGCCACCGCCAAGGTGCACTTCATCGATATCGATCGGCTTTCCCCTCTGCTAAAAGTAGCAGTCAAAATGCAAAATTCACCTTGCAAATGCAAATTCTTTTCCCCTTTTTCCCCAGTCGTTTTCCCAGGGTTAACTTTCCATTGCACTGTACTGTACAGTATTCTTACATTTGTGTGAAGCCTTCAGGCAAAGTTTGGTTTACAATGCTAGTCAAACCATTCCTCGCAAGAATCCTGCCAAAAAGAAAAAAACAGAGAAACTTTTCAACTGATGTTAAATCATAATTGACACACTGGGTAGCATGAGTGAGTAATGACTGAACATTTACCGGTAGCTAACAGTCAACATAAAGGTGTGCCACAAATATCGTACATGTAAACCACCTTAATTTAATGACATACTTTGTCAAAATTCCTCCCATCTCCACACTGAGACAGACAAACATACTCTGTCTACCACATTGGTGAACATGTTTGCTTGTATACAAGCATGCAAGCACGGGACAGATAGACAAGCTAACAATGAGTGAAGAAACATTTATATTTACAGTGTTTGAAGCTGAATGTATTCATCTAGTACATCGGTGGATATTGTGGTGATGGAGTTGTTACTCAGGTCACTGTGGGCAAACAGATTGAAATAAAATCTAGTTAGTTTAAATTCATAATCTTCATCCCTCACTTTTAAGATGTGCATGTAATGCAGGCATGCATTAACAACAGCTTGGATACATGTGTCTTGCACAAAACCCAAGGGTAAACTTGTCTTGCTCTAGATAGCTCCCAATGTCAGAATACAAAGGATATTGACTGTGCACATATACGTACATGTATGTTTGAACCCCCACCTACATATAGTTAGTGCGCATGTGTACTCATGCTCACAAGAGCCAGAAGCCAGTAAGATGGCTCTTGACTCTGGAAGGCTGACTCCAAAAGTGATTGATCAGCGTCAAGCTCAGATACAGTTGTTTTCCCCTCATTTCCATGTCGATAAAAATTTACAATATATGTGAACACTTGAAGTCCCTTTTGCTCACTTGCACATGATAAAAATCCATTTTCTGCCGAATTATTGCCCGTCTTTATCATGTACCTCCAAAGTAACATGGAGTCAGAAGTTGGAAATGAAGGCAACATTTTACAGGGGATTTGTTTCAGTTTTGCCGAGTTTTCCCTGATGTTTCTCTACTCGTGAATAGTGAGGAATATCATGAACGTTCTAATGAGAAAGTATCATTCAAGAAGGAAACCGTATGAATAAGAACAGAAAGTTTTTGTTTGTCCCTTTTAGTCGCGCAATTTGAAATCATTGTACTTATTAGTGCAATGCAGTAAAAGTCAACTTGTACTCAAATTCTCTCGTATCCAGGTGGGTGTGCGTATACTTGTACATGTATCTTATTTTTGACAGCTGTTGGACGCAGTGCGGAAATTTGAACCCGCATGAAAAATGGACGCATTTCAGACAAATGGCTCTCGGTCTTGAAAAAATGAGATGATGGATACAAACGATTCATTGGTCTTCCAAACAATATCACCTACATGTACCTGTATGATCTGAGGGGAATTCAACAAAAGTGTAAAAAATGGGCACGAAGTAAGGTGAAAAACACAGAAAATGACAAAAATGGTTCCAATGAAAAACGAAGTGAAGAAAAGGTTTTCTCCCTAGAAGTAATAAATGTTTCTGTTCATACGAGTTACATGTACATGTACTTGTCTATCATCAAAGTTATCAAAGGTAAACCCAGCAACCATGTGAAAAATAGATATACAGTTAAGTAAGAAACAATAATTTTTTCATATTTATCCTTTGTCGTAAAATTGAAATTTTCCACTTCTTTGATTATTTTCCAGAGATCCTTCTTACTAGAAGCTATTAAATGTCACCATTTGATACATGTAGATTCTTGACAATTTATTCACACACGAGGTCTGCAAGGGAAATGGCAGGACACATCCCTCACATGGGTCACCACTGATAGGCGTCGTCTGCTAGAATGATTTCTTAGGTCCATGACTATACATGTACATGTACATGTTTGTCACTATTATTCATGTGCGAATACGCAACTAAATACACGTGTGAGTACTAACTACACGTACATGTATGTGTAACATGTAATGTGTCCTCAGTACAATAAAAAGGCTAACATCTGCGACCAAGAGTCACAGTCAAACTGACTGTAGTGCAGCCAACAACCCAGTACATACATGTACAGGTATACATACACATGTACATGCATGTAGTAATTAATGATAGATAAGGTTAAGAAAAACGACCCGGACGTAAGTGGAAACAAAATGCTTGAAACAAGCTGCCCTAAACATCCACAATGTACAGTAACTACTTCCCACAAGTACAGTAGCAACCCTGTTAGAAACTTGACAGAGTAATTGAACTGATAGCACATGCCAGCCAAACCTCTATTTGCTCTGATCATTTACAGAGTTGCAAAGTGCTACCGGTACTTCCAATCCACAGACCTTCAAGTGTTTATAAATTATAGAGTATCACAGTTGGTGGGCTTGTGTTGGATGCTATGGGACATTGAGAGAAAAAATAAACTGGATAAAACCATGGCCATGGCCAAGGGTCATTTCCATGTATGTACATGTACATGTCATCACCAGGAAACTTCAGATTGCATTATGAGAATGTACGTCCACAACTGTACACTCCAGAGGGAATTTCAGTTTTCTATGTAACTGCGAAACACTCTTGCTACAGGTATGTGGTAGGATTTGAGAAAAAGAACAAAACCCAATTACCAGAAATTTTTGGTGAAGGATAACATGTTTGGAATGTGAACATTCTCTATGGCAGTACAATTAATTGTGAAGACAAAAAAAAGTGACAATAATGAGTCACAGAATTCCTTTCCAAACAGATCTGCAATGTTGGGATGGGGGGCAGGCAGGGTGGTCACTTCACAGGATCTGGATAGCTTCAACAAACATTCTTGCCATAGACTTCTTTTACAAAGATGAAGACAGAAAGAGCCTGGTTCGTGTATCTGAAGACAATATTTCTATGGTACATGGACATGATGCATGGCACACTGTTTCAATTTTCATGTGCAGACCTTCAATTTTGGAACAGCTGGTTTGACTGCTTGCCAGCATGCCCATAGCACTGGTCCCTGGAGATCTTATGGTTATAGCCTCCCCACTTGGCTGGCTTTCATTCATTCATCCATTCTTTCTTTCTATGATTTCCTTTCACTGGTCATTCAAAAGATCCATCCCTGGGAGAAGTCAAGCTGGCAGTGTGTGTCTGCTCAGCTGTGAAATTACCTTTGAAAATCCCCCAATGGGGAAATTTGTTGAGAACCAGTGGCGCAAAGAAAATCTCCTTTGTATTCCCCCAGCAGATGGAACACATTCTGAACACACACTATGTACACGAACAGTGTATGAGCATGATTTGAGCCAGTCCAAACAAAAAGACTATGGTAAACGTTTACCTGGGAATGGGACTTGGCTATGGATGGTGTTACTGGGACAGTACTTTGTACATGTAGTTAGCTGAATTTCTAAATAGACAAATATTTTGCTTTGAAAGGGTGTGCTGATCAGCATTACAATGTACACTGAGTGATCTTACTTGATGTGACACCTTTTCTCTTTAAACTGTGCTCAACATTTCTATTCAAACACAAACTCCAGGCAGTGTTTAGCTGAAACGTTTCATATCCCAAAATTCATTAATATTTTGAAAATTGAAAATACCACACTTCAAGCATATAAGCCCCCTCAACAGTATCCAAGAGAGTGTCTGGCTGAACAGTGCAATGCTAACTAGCACCCTGAATACAAGTGCATTTGTACCATGCAAAGCAATAGCTCAAAATTGCATGTGGTTTACTCCATGCTCAATACACGCGTACTTACACCTATGTGAACACGCATACATAGTACCCGTACATGTACATCAGAAGATTTTTGCTCGTTGATGAAGCCCTTTCTTACAATGAAGCCCTTGCTATCAATGAGCCATGCATTCTTAAATGCATCAACATTATAAAACCCGGTGTCAGATTTTATAGAGCTTTGGAATAATTAGGAGTGATGCACAATTGTAATGGACTCGAATCATACTTCAGAAGTTACATTACATATATATTTGATCAAATTGCCATTCAAATGAAAAAATAATGAGCGTTGAAACATAATGGAATATTGCATGATGAGGTGTCGCATATCATTTTGCAGCGACCAAATCTTTTTCAGATAACAGCCGAAAACATAGGCCTCGGCCTACATAAAATGATAAGTCTACGCGTATTCCTGTGAATAGGTCTACAATTAAATTTCAATTTATAATGCATTATTCCATAGAACTTCCATAGGCCTATGTGATTAAAGATTTTCAGTTTCAACAATCCTTTGATTGAAATTTTTGATACGATCTTATTTACAGTAACCAGGAAATGAGCAGGAAAAAATAGCTGAAACCAGCCTGGTACCAGTTAATAAAAAATATAAGAACAACGCTACAAGTCGCATCTTCTTCTGGGAACCAGACCCACAACCCTGGAATTATGTTTCACACGCGTGCACGTTACACGTACAAACGCGGGTACAGCTGATCGCACTAGCCCCATATGCTTACACACAGTGCACGCTTGCGGAATGTACTCACATAACCTGCAGGCTTTCCCTGTTTGGCAAATCACTCGGAAACTCTGTCCAGCCAGCAGATGTGCACTCGAAGATCGTATCATTGCATGTACAGTTCTGCAGCAATGGTGCCGTGCATGACTGTGAGCTCACATACCTCAGAAAGATAGAGAGCACCATCAAATAGATCGACGATTTCGTAAGATCGAACAGCTCCGTTCGCGCCATGTTGCGACAACTAGAATATGATAGGGGGCCGGGCAAGTAATAGCGCGTGCGTACGTTACATGGCCGGAGCATATGTACGCTTTAAATTATAGTGCTAGGAGTGTTCGTAAAACGCACATAATTGTCTGGACAGTAATAACTGAAAATACTTAATTTGACGATGGGCTGGGGACGCCTGAAAATTTGTACAAGTAAGTTTCAACAGGGAGATATGGCTTTAAGAAAATCAGGAGAATCCCTGCATATGGCCAAGAACATCTTAAAGTAATAACCTACCCCTGTGGTAAATAAAAATAAATTTTACACGAAACGTTCTGTTGTTACAGGGTTGAATAATTTGAAAGTTGAAACACATGATTAGAAAATGCATGGAGGTGAATGCAAGTTTGAGAAATGACGTGTACACGTTGAGCCCTCCGTTAACATTCATTTTCTGTGATCAGTCATGCAACAACGTTTGATATTTTGTCTAAATTATGCATGTTTTTCAAATTGAATTAACTTCTTGACAACATTACAGTTGAACAGTGCGCAGCATTATGGCGTTACCGCGTTCATGAAAAAACACTTCCCCTATTTGATAAATGAACTCAACCAGAATGCCATCCTTGACCTCTCTGGTGCTAAATTATGCATGCAAATGAGCTTGGGGTCACGCCCCCGCTCTTCAGAGCTTATCTGAGAATTCACAAATCGCTGTTTTGAAGTGTGTTACCGTCTGAGTTTTTCGACATTTTTTCTCTTAGTTTCAATTTTTTTCACGAAACCGGTGTGACTTACTTTGCTGACATGTCTAGTCAAGTATTTTCAGGTGAGTTTTCGTTATTTCATTTAGTTGATTTCTCGGTTACAGTGATTTTATGTGAGGAAAAAAACAAGAAAACGTGTCAGGCCTGTATCCACTGTCTGTGATTTGGGTGATTTACACCCGTCGGCGTTTCATGTTGACTAAAATTTTACCTCATCTGATTTGCAGAATGATGACAGTGAGCTGAAATGAACTCTGGAAATTTCTGCATATTGTTGGAAATTGTACTGTTGTTAAAAATACACGATTTTGCTTTTTTGTTGACATACAAAAGGATTTGCACATCGTTGACAAAATGGCAACCTGACAACCAGCTTGATCGTTGTCGCCGATTTAGCCCTGGTTGAACGTTTTCTTTTGAAATACCCCATTTTCATATTTTTGCAGTTCCCATTCCAACGAAACGGCCAAAAAGAGAATACAGAATTTCGGTAAGTGCTGTTTAATGACTTTTACCTTTATTTGTTTGGCTGATAATCATACTACTTTACTAGCAGCTTGGGAAGCTTCCCATTTTTCTGGCCATATGCTCGACACCTCTGTCTGTCCTTCCTCCGTGGTCGATGAACTGAAAAGGCCGATTCGGAATTGTTTCCTCTAAAATGAAACGCAGGATCTTACGAAAGTTACAGAGGGAGTAACATCATACTGATGTTATTACGGTAATATCTTATCTGAGGAGTTTCATGGGGCAATAATTTTGTGTAAATTGGTCACACAATTCCACGTTAAAATTCGAAAATTTGTCTATTGTCAACGATCGATTTCGGTAGGCCAAGAGGAAAGAGTCTGAATTGTCCGTGTATTCACACGCACGCATTCTTGTCGCATTCAATGCCATGTCGCATTCAATGCCATGTTACTGTGTTCTCTCTGCATGCTCAAAATCTGGTCAGGAAAACGTTTTCAAGTCTTCAGCATTTGTTGCCCATCAAAGTGCGGTTATTTTGCGAAAGTTTGACGAAAGTCTGTCCCGCAGATATAAAGTTTGTGCTTGATCATGGAGGAAGGGTGATTGGATTTTGTGCCAAACCAAAACAGCACATTTCAAGATGGCAGCCACTGGCCTGGTCACTCTACACGTACATGTGGTATGTGGTTACCGTTGGCTCAACGTTTCATTTCGATCATCTTGACTCCCGTACGTTGCGTTCATTTCGGAAATGATGCAGCTGGTACCTGTTCTGTATAAACCCGCATGGTGTTCTTATCGGCTTTGTGTCATTTAACATTATGTTTGTAATTCACATGGACATTGCCAATTCTTATGGACATCACCAATATTCCCCTGGCCTCTCTCATCATCAGAAAGTGATATATGTCCTAATTTTCCTAAAACATGTAAAAAGTCCAGTTTAGCGGGGAAAATATTAATGCATTTAGGCCTACGTGTACTTAGAAAACACAATTTTCGGACCAGTCTTGTACAGGTAGAGTTTGTACAGAAGGTGTCAAGTGATGTCTGTGTATGGAACTCTGTCCTCTACTGCACTAAAATTGATTTTCAGTGAAAATTCACCAAGCATTTTCCCCACTTGTTGTCTGCCCAGAACAAAATATAGTGCAGCTGTTGAAGTTTTTAAATTGGTCATTGTATTAACAGCTGTTCTTTGAATTGACATCTGATGTTGAACAATCTTCAAGGAGACTGGATTCCTGAAGCAACACTATAGCATTTTCAGGTTACATATCATTCATGTCATCAGTTTTTTACTGGAGTAAAATAAATGAAAGTACTACTATTAGCAGGTATCTCTAAGGGATAGGTTGAGTTATGTACTCCAGCCTTAATGTTCATGGCAGTGCAAATATCCCAACAATAGGATCATAGCAGTTTGGGCTGTAGTTACATGTACCCAAGCTGTCCAAAAGATAACATTGATTTTCAATAAAACACAACAGATTCAGAATAGTATCCTAAAATATCATTACAATACAGTTCTTTGGTTGTAGCATGAAGCAATAGTTCATGCACCATAGATTATGATGTTTCTTATGTACAAAGACTGTGCACGATACAGGTATATAGTTGGTGTAGCAAAATGATAAAAAAAAAATTACGGCATTTCCTAGTGAGACTGACAGATTTCAAGTTAAGAAAGTACTCGTACGTGTACATGTACGTACATGGATCTTCATGTAGTGCCACTGCTGTTAGTACACATACGTAGTAGTCGTGTATTTTGTAGATTGAGAGGGTTCAATAAGGGGCATAACAGTAATGCCCTCAAGAACTGAAGAAGTGGACTGAAGCCCTGCTTACAAGTACATGTACACGACAGTACGTTATACTTTTCCATGAAAGTCGTCTTTGCCATATGATGCACAAAAACCAAATACTATGGTTGATCTGTGCAGTTGCTGAATTGTACTGTGCAGTTGTTGGATTCTTTCTCAATCGATCACCCTCTTTCAGGTTGATCACCTTTTCTTTCATATTCACAGCTAAGAAAATTGGTTTGAAAACGGGACATAAAGATATTGGCATGCACCAGATGCTGGCTGCGTACATGTACAATACTGGTGCATGTATGGGATCAGACGGGTGATGGGAAAGTTTGTTGTGACCTGCAGAAAAATGAGTAAACTTAGAAAACACAGATCTACGATGTACATTTACCTGTGGCTGATTATGAGAGGGAAAACTGAGCCACCTGTGCTGTAATGTAATGTGATAATGATCAGGTTGATGGACATCAAACTGTCGTACAGAATGCACATTGTCCTGCATGTTACTTATTGGAATCCATTAGCAGGGACTACAACATGAATGTCTTTAATAGGGGCGATTCACAATAGTGCGCCACCGTGAGTTTGCAACGCGTTGGCCAATCACAGCGCACAAAATTTGTCGACCCTTTCCGAACGCACATTGGGTCAACAAATTTCACGCATTGTGATTGGTCAAGCGCTACAATCTCTTGGTGGCGCACTATTGTGAAACGCCCGTATTAGGAGTGCCCTTTTGTCCACTGCTACAGAAGCTTCCTGGTACTTCAGCCAGAGCACATGGAAATGGTAATGAGTTTGTTGGGTGCCAGCAGGTGCATTTAGTACATTTCCATAAAACATTCGGACATGTACTGGTACTACACATATTGGACATGGACTGTTGTCTTCAGGGCTAGTGACCTCTGGCACACCCAGGCAGCTATTACTACCAAGCTTAGTTACAAGTTACTACTGCTTCCTTAAGCATTACTGTTAGGATACGTCTGGATGAAAATCACATACATTGTACATGTGAAGTTGAGGGGCTTTACAGTACATTTTCTGATTGATCCTTTTATTGTCCTGTGAGCTTGCCCAGTGAAGATGCTGCAGTGCTCCACACATTGATGTCCTGTTGGACTAGACAAACGATGAAGGGTTGTTTCAAGTCTTGTTTCATGATTCATTGCATCCCTTATTTAAAGTGTTTCTAGCCAAAGAGCCGGAATCAACTCAGGTTGAACCATTCAAAACTGTCCATTTTTGCCCGATGTTATGCAGTTATTTTGAATTTGGGAAGGAGTTTAACCACTGAAAATGGGATTAGTTTTAGATATTACTGAAAAGCAACATTCCCCCGAATTGCTTTGAAAGTATAAAATATCACTGTGATTTGGTTCCTTCCTGTTTGGTGTGGTACTGTAAATGATCAAAAATAAAGTTTTGAATTCCTAAAACCAAACTGTTCTTATTATTGATGGCACCAGTCCATTCCTGTTTGCATTGGTTCCTAAACATTAATATTCAGCAGCTAAGGTCTATCTCATTAGCATAATTCTGGCTAAGGCTGTACCATCTGCTTGTGTTAAGGGAAGAGGGGTGTGTGATTGTTTGACGGATGATATAAGACACGATTCCAGGAAAAGATGCCAGAAAACAATTGCATACTTTCTCTGAACACATTTAATTTAATTTGTACTTACATGATACGAAATCTGTATTACATATATGTGTTGTGGGAAAATCTCACAAACTGGACCACTGGAAAATGGAATTCTTCCCTCTGTGGAACAGTTTGGAAAATTGTTCCTTCGAAACATTTGACAAAAACAGTAACGAATGACACAGAATTGGACTCAAATATAACCCTTATTTGTAAGACACTGTTTGAAAGTTTACAACATACATTTATATATATACTTTTTTTTTAGCCGTCACCCAAAAAGAAGAAAACAGTGACAGATTTTAACACTTTCTGCACGTGGGTGTTGGACTATGAGGCTTCACTACAAGAGGAGGTGGGTAAATAGGTGACTGTACTGTTCTGCTAATGGGGCGTTGCATTTCATTTCATCATTTCATTGCTTTCCCCCCCAAAAAAATTATACTTAAGTAAACCTGAGCTGTTCTAGAAAAAAAAAAGCGAGTCAAATTCAAGAATGAGGAGGTAACAAACTGTGGAGTTGTTTTGCTTTTAAAGTGCAGGTATATAAAAATGTCTGTAATTTCTGATGTTCATCATGGGTGTTTACCTTTAAAGGAATTAAAAATGTCTTGTTTGACAAGCAGAATACATGTATAAACTTTGCACATGTGCCATGCATGGCAGATTTGAAGACTCTTCCACACCCCTACGTATAAAATGGACTTTTCCTGCTGTCCTTTAAAGGTCAGTGTTGTGGTTGGGTCATGTTCTTTTAAGGGTAGTTAATTAGCATATGACTTTGGAGTGGACCATTATGTTGGAGGGAAGTACTGAACGAACTGTCAAAAACCAAACTCCTGTGCTTGGACGTACATACATACATGTACTGTACGGTACATGTACAAGTAGCTGTATAGACTTTTTTATTGTGATGTCACAATCGTGCTGGACCATGATGTGTTGTGATGGTAATCTACTTATGTATTCAAGATAAGCTTGTCAAGCTTGTAACATTTGCACTTGCGCTTGTACATGGTTGAAACTACCTGTAGAAATATATGCGATCACCGTGGCCAAGGCGGTCCGCATGTGGTGGTCACACGGGTGAAAAGGGTCTATAGGCTTAAACAGTTCCACAGTTTGTTCTGAACATTGCAAAACGAAGGAAGCCTCAGGTTTTTATGTTCAGCCCAGTAGCTACAAGGACCAGTAGCTACAAGGACATTTTAAGCTTGTTAGATAATTGGTACACCCGTTGTTGTTTTGATTGAATTGGAACCGTTCTGATTTTTAAGCTTTCAGACCGTAGTAAAAGGTAACATTCCAACTTCCATAAAAGGGAAAAAATAAACAAAAAAGTCCCAGCAAAAAGGGGCGCTATTTGCTATGTCAAAATGGCAGTTGTAACACATGCAAACAAATAAACAGCTTCCCCTGAGTGGCTGCTTGTTTGCTGTGGGCTCGTAAAATTGGTGTTCCAATTTCTGACTAGGAAGCATTTCCATGTACACTTTTGCTTTGCATCATACGTTAATGAGGTAAAAGTGCTCTTCATCAATGAAAGTTGAGGAATTTATTGGGCCATGTTGGATAATTTTTTGTCTTTCTACAGTGATGTAATATAACAGTTCTTTGGCCGTACATTTTTAGAATTTATTCTGTTTCTGACACAATTTCTTTCCAGGAGCTTGTCAAGAAAAGAAGTCCAAGTCCCTTAGACAGTGAGGGTAACAGTACGTCTAGCAGTGATACCTCTGAAATTTTACATTATGCGCCCAACTCCCAAAAGGTCAAAGGTAAATCCACCATGCTTATTTTGTGCTGATTGTGAGTCTGTTTGAGATTGCACTGGCAATCGTCAGACCAAATAAATAATTGAACATGATTTCCAAGCTCAGACAGGTCGGGTCTCTCATTAGCAGCATTTTTCTTACACATAGTCACTGGCAATATCTTGAGATGTCGCCGTTGCCAACAATAACTTCTGAAGTTTTAAGTCAAAACATGGTACAGTGTATATAGAAAATACCTGAAAGCATCACTGACCAAGTTTAGAACTATCCTCGTTGATGAACCTGTATAGTACCTTTGAAATTGTTTATTGTTTTTTTATCCTTCTGTCGTCTTCTTTCAAGATGAGGAATGGGAACTGGTCACATGTTACTGTCTCAAACCCTTTGCTGGACGGCCGATGATTGAATGCTCAGAATGTGCCACTTGGATCCACTTGTCATGTGCCAAAATCCGCAAGAACAATGTGCCGGACATTTTCCTTTGCCAGCGTTGCCGGGACTCCAAGTATGAAATCCGACGGTCAAATCGAGCCCGAGAACCCAAGAAACAGTTCAAGGAGTTGTATGAAGACTTGTGAACTACAGCAATTAAACAGACTTGTACAGCAGTATCAAAGTGTATCATAAGTTCTATGCCAACCGTCCCTTAAAGCGCAAAAGAAAGGAAGTAGGAAGTGTTAAAAGTTTCAGCTGCTTGGAGTATTGGGCTCACAACTTTTCAGTCATGAGTTTGGAATAAGGATTATGCCAGTTTTGGAAACTCGTTTCACAATGCAGTGCTGATTACTTTCCAACCGTGCAACACAAACACCTGTAAGGACAACAGGCATGTTGCTGTCGGAGAGCTGTCATAGAAATGTGCGATCTCTCTACTGCTGTCGTGATGTCGAAGCTTGGACCTCTTTCAGAACATTCGCGTGATGTACTCTGAACCATTTGGGACCAAGGTTTTTGGACAACTCCATCAACAAGGGCTGTAAGCTAGACTTCATTTCACTCAGATACTCAACCAAATCTACTCAACTCACCCATTACTTGGAGTGTGCTTCATACACTGCTTTGCACACGACTAATTGACGATGCTGGCTCAACACTGTCGACTGGAAAGGGTTGAAGATGCAATACCGTTGTGACTAAGCATATACTGCATTATATGTATTTCAAGGTGGCTGAAATCAGTTCCACCCCTAATGTTCACCCATTGGAGTAGTGAAGAAACACTAGACTGGTGGAAGACAGGGCTTTCCAATAATGTAATTTCTAGCATAGTTGATACTTGGAGCAAGACTACATGTATGAGGTCAATCTACTTCAGTGGTGTTTCCATGGGGCATATTGTACGGTACATGTACTGCAACAAATGTGACATGACCTCAAACATTTGCCTTGGAAAAAACTTGACAGCTTAGAGGGCTTTCTGTGATGCTCAGTTTGAAGGTCCTTCAGCTCCTTGGGAAATATCATCCGCTGATGGGCAGGTGATGGTGTGTGGGTCTGTAAATCATGGAAATGAATCAACAGATGAAGCAACAGATGGTAGCATGGATACATGGTAGTAGATTGTTGATCAGTCCTACTGTGGACAAATGGATGTGGATTGCTGATTAGTCCTACTGTGGACAAATGGTAGTGGATTGTTGATCAGTCCTACTGTGGACAAATGGTAGTGGATTGCTGATTAGTCCTACTGTGGACAAATGGTAGTGGATTGCTGATTAGTCCTTCTGTGGACAAATGGTAGTGGATTGTTGATCAGTCCTACTGTGGACAAATGGTAGTGGAATGTTCATCAGTCCCATAGTGCTATGGAAAATATCTCCATGGTGATAAAAAATCCTTGCACTGCAGTCTAACAAGTCAAGAAAATAGTAAGAATTTAAAAGGACATTTCAAAAGCCTTATTGGACAAATCTGTAACTGCTCTTTTGTTTTTAAGTTAGCAGTTTGTAACATATCAAACTGTGATTGAAAAAAGATCACATTTGACACCCGCCAACTTTTGACAGCTTCGTTGTAGAACATGGCATTTTCCTTTTAGATCTAAGGGACACATGGCACCTGAGCCAAGCTGAGGATGCCTCCTTCAGTGTGTTTGATTACTTCTCTCCTATTGGTACTTATCCATGGTGTTTTCATAGTTTTATACAGGCAGGGGCAATATATTATAGTAACAAATGAATGATACAAGATTACTCAAACGAGGTACATGTAAGCTCATAGGTTACTCAAAATGTCCTGACCAGGTAAGCTCATAGGTTACTCAAAGTGTCCTGACCA